AGAGAGAAAGCTCTCTGACGTTCACAGGAACATCGATGCTCATGTTCTGAATTTGCTCTTTCATCTGAAAACAGTTAGCTTCCACAGCATAGATTAGGTTTTGGCATCTGAAGCCAAACTTGAGGCCAGACTTGGCTCCCCCTTGGCTCTTTCTGAACTTCAGAGGTTTGCCAGGTCTCTGGGATCTGATAAGATGGGATCAGCAGAAATCCAAGGAGACACGAGCGGGGGGCCTAACCTTTGTTCCCTTTCAGGCCATCCCGCCTCTGAGCCCCACTTCCTCCGAGTGAACCACGCAGTAAACTGCATCCAGGATGAGGTTTGGCTTTGTCAATTGGGGCTGCAAAGAACTGAAGGAATCATTGCATGAAGCACAGGACCAGGGACATCTATTAGTGTAACTTATTCAACAAATTATTTATTTGGTCAATAACTAAAACAGTTACTGTGTGGATGTTGCTGTTGTTATGTGTGGCCAAGTTGGATTCATAGCTGAACCTTCAGTGTGTTTTCAGATGCTGGAAACTGCATGAGAGGGGGCTGCCCAGCTCTCTCTGTCAGAGAAGCTGGTGACATTGAACCACCTGCCTTTGCATTGACAATGCAACTCCACACCCACTAGGTTAGCAGTCAGTAAATACTGAATAAGAAAGAAGGGAATAAAACAGAGGGAGGAATGAATAGAATCCATATCTTTCTTTTTAGAAAAACGAATTCCAAAAAGATGAAATCATTTGCCCTATAAACCACTCCTAGTTGGTGACAGATACAGGAGTGGAACCTGATGGCTTCTGGAATGAGTCTTTGTCCTTCCTTCATAACACTCTAATTTGTTGTTGTTGTTAGTCTTTCTGAGTGACTTGCAACTCATAACGACCCTATGTACAACAATTCCAAATCTTGCTCTATCCTGAGCCAACTTCATCATCTCTGACACACTTACCCCCATCTCATCTAGGCCAACATGCCCAAAGGATGTCAGATGGAGCTTCAAAATCCTAGCTTCCAAACAGCAGCCTGGTTTCATCCTCTCTAGGATTGACCTATTTGTTTTCTTTGTGGTGCCTGGTATGTTCAGTACTCTTCTCCATCACCACAACTCAAAGGCATCAATTCTTCTGGATCGTCAGTCATTGTCCAGCTCTCTGATTCATAGCAAGTAATTGCAAAGACCATGGTCATTGCAAAGGTCAGGCTTAAACTGAGATTTTATTATCCCCAATGATATCATGTGCTCTTCAGGAAAAGGAGAACCAAAGAGGCTTATTGAGGGTAGGGAGGAGCAGAGAGGAGAAAAATAGCGCAGTAAGAGTAACTTCAAAGGCACATAGTGTGACTGGGCCCACAAATGGCCACTGAATTGGCCCCTAACTTAGAGGGTCTTCATAATAAATAGACTATATTTGCCCACTGAGAAAAGCATGCACGCTCACTCCCAGTTTTCAGCTCTGACTGAGATCTGTGGGGGGCTCAATGCACACAAAGCTGAAGAGTTTCAATACAAGCTTGTGGGTGTTCTGGTTTGAGCAAAGCCTGTGTTGCTAGTCTGGGAGGACTTGAGCTAAAAATGGCTAGTGTTTACTCCCTCCTTCAGCCTTGCAAGCCCTCTCTTGGCAGAGCCTAACAAGGTATAGTTAGCGGGCAGAGCAGAGCTGCGATTTACACTCTCACAGGGGTGTAGCATATTAGTGCTGCTATCCCAAAGCCTTCCAGGTTTTGGGAGTTCAAAGCCACCAAGTGAGAAACACCACTTCTTCTATCGGAGAAACATGGGCAATATCCTTCCTTTATCATTTACAGCTTCAGAAACCCAATGGGGAGTCACTACGAGTAGGAATGACTCGAGGCCAGAATCACAAAGCCACAAACCAAAGGGCAGTTGTTATTGTTGTTGTTGTTAGGTGCCATTAAGTTAACTATGACTAACCATGACCCTATGGGCAACTGATTGAAACCTTGCCCTGTCCTGAGTCATCCTCTTTGAAATAAGAAATGATAGATATATAGGCTTCTCAGTGAAATTTAGAGAAGACTGGCCAACATCAAGACACATGTTATATAATCAAATGACCAGTCAATGAGGATTTATTATAGGGTTACCATGTACCCACTACCATGATTGGAGAACTAGACATTAGTTGCTTTTGCTTAGATCTATTTTATCATATTCTAGCAAACTCTGGTAGCTTAATGTGTAAGGAGTTGCACAGCCAACCCAAAGGCCAGCAGTTCTAATCTACCAGCTGCTCCATAGGAGAAAGATGGACAATCTTTTCCCATGTGATTAATCATCTCTGAAAGCTTGCTGAAGGGTCTGAAAACCTGCTGGAGGGTCAGCTATGAGTTGGTTCTGACTTGATAGTACACAACACAATATTGTATCATCTTTTTCTGACAATAAACTCTATAACCAGTAACTAGTTGCCATCAAGTTGACTGTGGCCCATGACAAGTCGATGTATCCGAACAGAATTGTGCTCCAGAAGGTTTTCTGTGGGTATTTTTCACAGGCTTTTCTTCTGATAAGTGGGCTTGAACCTCCAAACTTGTAGTTAGCACCCAAGTGGATTAACTGCTTTTACTACCCAAGGACTTGTGGCAAAAGCAGACCACTGTCTATCTATTTCACTGTCGTGAAATACCATAGGCAGGTAGAGGGTAAGACAATGATGTGAAAGGAAGTGTTAGCTTATTGAGCTTAGTCAACAATGATGTTGTCCCAGATGAGAAGAATGAGTATAGCTGTTCTGTGTTTCCCCAGAAAAACCAGTGAGCAGCAAAGAGCCTCCATACAGGGAAAGCTCAATGCAGGAAAAGCTGTTGGAATAATCAGAGCTTACAGAACAGAACAGGACAAGACAGAACAGGACAAGGCCACTCACTCATTGGGCAGAGGGTTCCCAGTCAATGGCACTCACATAGTACAATCAAACTGCCTCTGAAAACCCACTGGAGTGTCAGCTATGGGTTGGTTCCGACTCAATGGAATAAAACAACAACATGCCTGTTTTGTAGCTAAGAATCTGAAGATCAGAAAAGTGATACAACCAGCAAGTTGGAGAGGCTGAGCTTGGACCCTAGTCCATCTGACTTCAGAGCTTGGGTCTGTGGCCATCACCTTGGACTTGGCCCATGCATGTGAGTGAGCCGTGGTGGAGTTGTGTCTGGTGAGCACCTGTGGGCCAATGCTTACCTTGACCACGTGGAGCTTGGGCAACAGATTGCAGTCTGCCAGTGTTAGCTCATCCCCATCCAGGAACTTTCGACGGGACCCCTTTTCATCATCATCACAGGTATTGGCGTCTATCTCCTCTGGCAAAGGGGTGTTCAGATAGTCATCCAGTTTCTTCAGGGCCTTGGTCAGGCCTCTCTCAAGGGCTGGCAGGGAAGAGCAAAATACGTATCTTTAAGCAAACTCCTTGCCCCTGGATATGATCACAAGGTCTTTAGAATAGGTAGAACATCCTGCTCTGTCCCCTCCTGGCGCTGCCAGTCCCCCACCCCATGTTACAATAGCAGCCACTAACATTCCACTGTACAAATGGGTTAAATAGCTTGGAAAAAAAGAGAAAAACCAAATGATAAGTAGTATCTACTAACTGTTCGAAAATATAAAAATAAAACAGGCTGGCGAGCTCTGGTGGACTAGTGGCAAGAAGGTGCACTGCAGTTCCAGTGGTGGGCGGTTCAAATCCACCAGATGCTTTGTGCGAGAAGGAGGAACAATCTCCTCCTGAACCAGTCAAATCTGATTTGATGGTACACACGCACAAATGATAATAATAATAATAATAATATTTCTAAAAAACCCAACAAGTTATATATTAAAGACTTAATAGGTTTCTTCCCACTGGGTAAAAACAGTCAGGTTTCATTTCTTTGTTTTGATTTACTTTATCAATATTTTGCTAATATTGCTACAATAAACCTATATACTAATTTAGTGTATTTGTCAAATAAGTAATATATTTATGACAGTAAATAAATAACTAACTGTGTCATAGAACAAGGGAGCTTAGTAGGTAAGGAGCTGAGCTGCCAACCCAATGGCAGGTGGTTCGAATCCTATAGTTCCTCCATCCAGTTCACAGCCTCTGAAAACCCACTGGTAGATGAGCTGAGTCAGTTCTGACTTGATGGCACATAACAATAGCAACAGTCCTAGAACAGAGGCATGTCTGGGTTTTGAGAGAGCACTGATGAAGTCCTGCAAGTCAACCCCAGAAGCCAAGAAGGGGCAGACATGACTTCAGGGAAGAAACATCATAGGAAAGCATCTACCTGTTGTATGTTACCCAGAGTATCATGGTAGCAGGGAGGTGTGTTGGGGCTCAAGATAAGGAAACTAACAAAACCCTAATCCTGTTGTTATTGAATTGATTCTGACTTAAGGTACTCTGGAGGGAGGAGTAGAAACACTTCATGGAGTTTTTAAGACTGTAAACCTTTGGAAAACCAGACTGCTACATCTTTCTCCATGGGTTCTGATTGCTGACCTTCCAGCTAACAGCCAAGTGCACGATAATAGTTGTCAGCAGGCCTCCCGCAATACAGGAAAGAGCTGTCCAGAGTGGAAGAGCTAGAACATTAGAGAGAGGGATGCTGCATGGAAACCTAGCATGGATACAGCTTGGTGGATGGACACTTAAAGTAACAGAATGGAGCAGAAGATCTTGACAGTGTTGCCCCAATATTAATTACTCAAAGGTATTTAGACATAGCACAAAATACTTAAAACAACCATCCTGTTAAGTCTCTATCATTGAAAGTCATCTCTCTTGGAATCTCAGTCCATTCTAGTCATTGAATGTTAACCAAGATACTTTCCACCCGTATTCAGGGGGCAGACATGCAGGAGAAGGCTGACTGGGCCATTAGCCACTGCACCCCTGACTCTAACCCCATTCCCCGTGACTGTTTTTACAGATTCTGGTTTAGATGTAACACATGGATAATAAGAGTCATTCCTGATGTTAATTCTAACAGATACAAGGGGGCTGGTGCCTTCTGGAGAAAGAGCCAAAAGAATGGAACTCTGGTTCAGATTTTCTCAAATGTGCTTTCTGTGAGCCCTCCTCATGTACCCTGTCTCTGCCTCTCCATATAAGGCATTCTGTTTGAGACAGTGGACTAACACTAGCTAACATTAGCCCAAGATAGATCAATTGAGCACTTACTGGAATGTTTGAAAACTGGCTGGAGATTGAACATAGTTTCTCAATGCTTCCTTTTCCCTGGTGTAGCACTGAACATATGCTTCATCAACTGCTTTGTGTTTCCAGTTTGAGAGAACAGAGTGTGTCTGGCTGGGAACATGCTTCTTTTCCCCTGAGGAATTGTCTAGACTTCTCTATGGGATGGCAAGTCTATTCAAGGGCAATGGAAGGGCCTGGGCACTAAACAATACTTATTAGGCTCTTTATGCTGAAGCGCTTATGATTTGAGCTTGTTTTACCCCCTCAAATCCCTAGCACCTTTCAATTTTGGAGCTCAGGGCAAAAATTTGGCCAGCCAACATCATCCAAGGGAAAGAGGCCTCTGATAGGAAACAAAGTTTTGAGAGAATTCTTTGTATTCTCAGGGATTTGAGAAGGGTGTTTTATAAGTCTATGTCCCAGACACATAGTCTCTGCAGACGTATCTTGAAATGTGACAATAAGGTCTAGGTAGCCTCTGAAGCTCCTTGGATAGATGTCACTGCTAGGCATCATCAAGTCAGAGCTGACTCATAGTTGACCCTGCAGTGGGATTTTAGAGACAGTAAATCACACAGGAAGAGACTGTCCATCTTTCTTCTTCGAAGCAGCTAGAACATCTAAACTGTGTGCCTTTGGGTGGCAGGCCAACTGCCTGGCCACCAGAGCTTGGGTAGGACATCTTCCTTGGCTAGATTCTTCTGAGGAAATTTCAATTATCTGTCTTCCATCTCATCCTTGAGATGGAAAGGTAACAGTTAGCAATGGACACAATTGCTGCCTTATGTCATGACTGTGAGGTGCTCTATCAGGCTAAGGCAGCAGGGGTATCGATATCATCGCTCGTCTTTGTGTATTTTTTTAAAATCAGAAATATGTAGAGTGGCGCTGGTGATCATAATGATAAAGAGAATTGGTGAGATGAGGCTGGGAAGTGTGCCTGTGCTCAGTAGAAGGCAGTGTTATTTTACAAAATTAAAAAATAAAAGTGCTAATAAATCATGATAAATGGGAAATGATTGAAGTGGCCAAGGTTTTCATCTTACCTGCACCCACAATCAATGCCCATGGAAGCAACTCTCAATAAATCAGAATCAGCTGGCATTCGCATTGGGCAATTCTGCTGCAACAGACCTCTTTATAGAGGCTACAAAGCGAAGATGTCACATCAAGGACCAAGGTGTGTTTGGCCCATGCTAGGGCCTCATATGCTTTCAATCACCTCATATACTTGTGAAAGATGTACCATGAATAAGAATTTACAACAATCACTGCATTTGAATTATAGCATTGGCAAAGAATAGTGAATACACCATGGACTGCCAGAAGAACAAACAAACCTTCCTTGAAAGAAGTACAATTAGAACGCTCCTTGAAAGTGAGATAGGTAAGACTTTCTCTTACTTACTTTGGACCTGTTATCAGGAGTGTTGTCATTTTATATTAAGTAGAGGTGTCATTTAAAAAAGGAAGGACCACATTGATGTGGTTGACAGAGGGCTGCAGTAATGGGCTCACACTAAACAAGGATTATAAGAAGAGTGCAGGATGGGGTAGTATTTCATTCTGTTGTCACATTGACTTGCTGTCTCCAAAAAACAGCAACATATAACAGGGCAGGGAAAAGGGCTAAGTAGCCTGCTTGAATCTTGACCCTGCCTGAAGTGGATTCCCTTGAGGAAGCTTAAACCTCCATGCCTTCTAATGCCCTAACCCTAATTGTTTCATCCCTTTTTTGTACAGATTGTATAGATTTCAGACCCCCAAAATCTCTGCTATATCTCTGATTCTTCCACTTACAAGTTATGCTCCACAACTTCACTGAGTTTCATTTTATTTTCTCATCTCAACAAGCAACAACAGGAGGGAAAGAGGAGTCTTCATAAAGAGCCTCTGGGCAGTGCATTGTTAATCAAAATGTTGAGTGTCTGAGTCCACCAGAGAGGCCTCAGAGGAAAGGCCTGGTGATCAACTTCCTGGGAAAAATTGGCAACTGAAAACTCTTCAGACACACATACGTTGTGAGTTCGAACCATCTCTATGGTAACTAAACCAGTTGACTCTTATGACGTCTCTGTGGGAATTAGCTCAGATCATGCAGAGAAAGTGACTAATACAATGTCTGGTCCATCCTAAGGCAGCAATTAAGGCAGCTTCTGTTTTTGGATTGAGTGGTCATCCCATTCTTTGTTCCTCAATTCACACTTTTGTCCACGTACAATTGATCCTTGATTGACTTCCATTAATTTGGAAGCTCATGGCTCCACAAATATACAGATATTTTTAAATGTCCTATAATGTTGGTTGAATTTGTATCAAGAGTTCATTTCTACAGTAAGTTGCATACTGCAACAAAAAGTAGTTTCTGGTGGTTCCCATACATTTTTCATTGTGCTTAATGAAATACTGTAAACCTTCAATAACACCATGTTGTTGTTGATAAGGGTCATCAAGTCAACTACAGCTCATAGCAAACCTGTGAAAAATGGATCCAAACCTTGAGCTATCTTGTACCATTCTTATGTTCTCTGCTATCCTTAAGCCTATTGTTACAGCCACTGCGTCAGTCTATCTTTCTTTCATTGACTCTCTACTTTTCCCAGTGTGTGATCATTTTCCCAAGAACTGGTGACTCCTGACCAGATGCCCAAAACAAAGTATGTATTTTCACCATCCTTGCTTCTAAGAAGCACCTGGTTGCTCTTCTGCCAAGACACATTTGTTCTCTTGGCAATTACATAATATATTCAATACTCATCGCCAACACCACAATTCAAAGACATCAAATTTTTGTGAGTCTTCCTTATTCATTGTCCAACTTTCATGCAGATAAGAAACAATTGGAAATACCACGGCTTAGGTCAGTTCTTTAAACTGATATCATTGCCCTTTAGAGCTTTGGAGCAGTCTTTGAGAGTTGATTTTCCCCATGCAGCACATCTTTTGATGATTTCTTGACAGCTGCTATGATGTATGCAATTAGAGATGAAATAAAATAAAATCTTTGACAACTTTAGTCTTTACTCCGTCTATCATAGTGTTGCCTACTGGTCCAATGGTAAGGATTTTTGTTTTCTTGTTGTTGAAGTATAATACACATTGACATGTATAATCTTTGATCTAGTCATCTGTTAGTTTGCTCTACTGTGGTGGCTTAAGTGGTACTGTTGAAAGGAGGGATAA